AACAGCTCGACTGCTTGATTGTTGCACTATTGAGTGATCCTTCACATCCTCTCCTCCTGAAAGTATGCTGGAGTTATAAAGTGCCAAAAAACGGACGGAAGAATAATAAATAATGAACAGGAAAACATGACTTGATGTCAGTGGTGACATAGATATTTATCCCACTGGGTGGTGTTTCAGTCCTTCGATGGCCAACAATGTCATCTAGCGATTGAATTGTTGGTGTCTGGTATCGATGGGAGTCGTTACCTGTCTTTGAACCCTCATGTGTGGACCGACGCCTATTGTCCTGATGTGAATTGGGGTGGAAATGTTTGGGCAGAGATTTCAAAACAAAGTTGTAGATGGAAGACAAGTCTGAGTCCACCACCCCAATTTCTATTTGGACAAAAATAGCTTCCTTAACTTCTCTCTCAAACCAGCGATGTTCTCTGGAGAGAATCTGGACTTCACTGTCCTCAAAAGGTTGTCCTTTATCCTTCAATTTGAGGGTGGTGCTAACTCTAGTCCACTGGGGTTGGCCCTCCTGTGTTGGGCAGTGGCTGTTTCGTTTCCCCATTGTACAGGTCATTACACTCCTGACTACGTTTAATTGCATACACCATGTCACTCTGTTTCTGGGTGTTTTGTCCTTCGGGTGGACCAGTCTCTGCCACAGGGTGTTCTCTGGCTTAAAGTTGACTGGGATACTGTGGATGCGGAAAATCTCCGATAAACCAGCCACATAAGGGATGACAGTGTTATCATGTGAGTCAAAAAGAAGGAAGCAGTCTCTTCACCACCTTGACTGCCTCTGTGGTGGGGATGCACCTGAACAAGGATGTGACATCATATGAAACCATGGTCTCATCCTGGTCCAGCTGCAGTTGTCTGTCTTTCTTAGTGAAATCCTGAGGGTTTACTATGTGGTGTTGTGTGTTTCCCACCAAAGGTGCCAAAATGGTGGCCAAGTGGTTGACTATGTTGTATGTCAGAGAGTGGCCATTTTAACATAACTGTTGTTTCCACACTATGTCCAGTGATGGTGGGGTAAAAATAAATTCATGAGAAGATATTGACATAATGTTTGAAGATAATGCATTTTGATTGAATTAAACTCATATGTATCATCAGATTTTTATGCATCGAATTGTCACAAAGTGAGCCACGCCATGCATTACACTTAGGCTAACTAGAGGCCGATTAGCCTAGTACCTCGATGTTTCAGTGTTTGTGACCCCCAAAGTTAAAAACACTGTGGAATTTTGGGTTATGACTGACAGACTTCTTTATACCATTTCAGTGACTGCTAGCAGTTACTTCTTCTCACACTTAGATGGAAAAAATAACAGTAACCTAGTTTTCAGGCTTTATTGTTGATGTTGGAAAGAAGGTAAGGATGCTTTTGTGTATTATATCAGCCGAGTTTAATTTAGTAACAAGTCTTTTTGCATCCTGTGATAGCCTGTGCTTAATTAGAAGGCCCAAAGCAACTTGAAGTTCTTAATATATCTGGTAAGAACATGCCATCAGTGCATTGTGAGAGAATCCTTATGACAAATATTCAATTGTTAAAGTTGCCATGTCAAAATATACAATGCCTATAAAAAGTATTCACCACCATGGATGTTTACCCTTTTATTGATTTTATAAATCAATGATGGGCAATATAATTTGGCTTTTTTGACAAAAAAAAAAAAAAAAAAAAAAAAAAAC